CTCTAGGGCTCTGTAGGGGAACTGAAAATTTTCATTTAGCATTCATTCATTTAAATGAGCTTCACAACATAATAATTGCCCATTATATAGCCAGGCACTGTAGTTGTCTCTGGAAACAGGATTTTTTTTTTTTTTTAAGGTAGTAAGCAAGACAGAGGCATGACAGAAAGTCTTTTAAGGAAAGGTTGTGACCAACCCTCAAGAATATTAAAATGACATGATATTTTAATTCAGTGCCTTAGTCATAGGACCTTTATGACCTTTGTCAATTTACTCAACTTTCCTAAGCTCTTTTTTTTTTTTTTTAGAGAGAGAGAGAGAGAGGAGAGAGAAAGAAATTTTAATATTTTTTTTTTTAAAGAGAGAGAGAGAGGGCTGGGGATGTGGCTCAAGCGGTAGCGCGCTCGCCTGGCATGCGTGCTGCCCGGGTTCGATACTCAGCACCACATACAAACAAAGATGTTGTGTCCGCCGAGAACTAAAAAATAAATATTAAAAAAAAAAGAGAGAGAGAGAGAGAGAATTTTTTTTTTTAATATTTATTTTTTAGTTCTCGGCGGACACAACATCATTGTTTTTTTGTATGTGGTGTTGAGGATCGAACCCGGGCCGCACGCATGCCAGGCGAGCGGGCTACCGCTTGAGCCACATCCCCAGCCGCTCTAGTTTTCTTAGCTAAATAATAATAGGTCCTACCTGTTAAAGTTGTTAGGTGAATTAAATGAAATCAGGAACATAAGATGGTCAGCACAGTACAGGGCACATGGTAGTATTCAAAATGTGACTATCATGAATTTCCAGCACCTACCATCACTTAGGGTGGAGAAAGAAGGTAATTTTAGATGTGGATTTTTTCACTTTTGTAAAAATGAAACAAATGTGTTTCATACATACTTAACACATTGATTAGGCTGAAAATGTACTTCAGTTTTTGACAGAGGTCAAATCTTTGTAATAGGATGTAAGGGGGAGAGATTTTTATTTTGTGTGTGTGTGTGTGTGTTTTTACTTTACATACTCCTTTTCAAAAACCAAGATTTTAGAAAATAGTGCAGTTGGCATATCTTGAATATAGAGGCAGAAAACAAAGTTTATGATTTATTACAATTCTTCCTTTCTAAGAATTACTTTCTTCCAGTCCAAAATAATTTCATTCAATTACCATTCTTTGTTCTGACTCTGCCGTATCTTGGAAATATCAACTCCTTCCTTTCTCCGCATAACAGATTCATCATTCATAAAATGAGTCACACAAGCCAGACAATGTTTCTCAACCAGCAGACCTTAGCATGCTTATGTCCTGAATGGATATGAGAAATTGACCCTTCCTGCAATGGGGCAGTCAAAGGAGGTCAGAAGCAGCCAGGGCCCCTGGGGTCAGTACCTCTGGTCATGAACTGCCTTATTTAAGACTCCCCAGGGCATTTTATGCAGGGTGGTCTGGGGTATGTGCCAAGTAAGCAATAGCCACCATGGTCAATAATCAGCACTTGCATTTCTTATTGTCTGTGAGCAGTGTCTGCCATGTGGGCAATTATATGCAAAGTACCCTACTGCCTATCATGGACCAGAAACTCTTATCCATGTATGAGTTTGTAATCTAGTTGCCAAAGGTATATAACACAGCCCAGAGGGTAGTCTGTCAGGGCATGAGAGAGGAGCTTGAGCAGAGAAAAGTTTCTGGTGGGCTCAGCTCTAGGTAATGCCTTTAATATTTGTCTTAACATACCGTGGTCATTTCTATACCTTTGCAGGCAGTGTCCTTTTAATGGCATTCAAGCTAGCTGTTTTCTATGCATACATTTCTGCAAGCTAAAGTTTCAATGTAGAAATCTTGATATAAAAATGTATTATTGGATTTGAAATCCATTTGATTATCACATGAAATTACATTTGTCAATAAAAGAAGAGTTGCTACATCCTTTAAATATAATTATAATTGTAAATTTTGAATGGTTGTATAAAATGGTTTTAAATATTTTATTACGTATTTATGTGATCAGAGTCCCTCAATGATAATGACTATTCAGAATATGAGAAGTTCAGCATTAAAAAGTCTGGATCAAAAACTGCATAAAGCCATTTCAGCCATAAAACCTAATATCAAAATGTATTCACAGGAACAAGTTCAAATCCATCATTAAAAAAAATGGAAATCCTTATTTTAAAGTATTATGCCAATTCCATATTTAATATCTCCCCTAATACTATGTATTTCATTTTTTTATCAAAATTATAAACCTTAAAGAAAATGTTATAAATTTAACCATCATTTAGGTAGCTCCAAATCTCTTTCAGTTTACCCTAGTGTGCTGTACAAAAACGATCATTTTCTGTGTCATATGAAAGCAGTTGAGAGGCCTTGATATAGATTATAAGGCCGTATGCCACCCATCCCACCCCAGGAACCTGATTCCCTGCTTTTGCTTACTCTGTCTCTCTCATTTCAAACACAGCTAGGGACACAAGGGTACATAGCAGCCAAGGTTCAAGTTTGTATATTACAGCATCAAGAACTGGACCATGGATGGTTGAATGCCACATGATCTTAGAGCTAGAGGGCAAGCTTAAAGCATAAAAAATAGACAGTGCCTAAAAATCACCTACAGTTAATAATAATAATAAATTTGGCAGGGTGTGGTGGCGCAAGCCTGTAATCCCAGCAGTTAGGGAGGCTGAGGCAAGAGCCAAAAATTCAGATCCAGCGTCAGCAAAAGTAAGGCGCTAAGCAACTCACTGAGACTCCGTCTCGAAATAAAATACAAAGTAGGGCTGGGGATGTTTTTCAGTGGTCAACTGCCCCTGAGTTCAATCCACCCCCCAAAAAGAATAATAAATCAGGATGATTCCAAAGGGAAAAATTCACATTTATTAAAGGACAAAAACCTGAATAAATGGACTAACATACAATATTCCCAGATGGAATGATTTAGTAATCCTGTTTCTCAAGTTAACATACAACATACAAGTTACTGATTAGAAATAACTTAGAATATGTAGACACCCATGCCCTACAGCAAAGCCAGGTAAATATTCGCCTTTATCACCCTTGTAGTGTCTCACAGAATTGCTCAGTGTGGATAACATCTTCCATCATTTTATTTTTTTTCTGTAGGTACTGGGGATTGAACCCAGAGGCACTCTACCACTGAGTTACATCCCCAGCCCCTTTTTATTTCAAGAATGGTCTTGCCAAGTTCCCTGGCTGGCCTGGAACTTGTGATCCTCCTACTTCAGCTTTCCAACTAGCTTTCCACTGTGCCATTTCTTATGGTCTTTAACAGTGCATTTTTCTACGTACCTGGAATTGATCAGGCTATCAAGATTATTTCATAGTAATGAAATTCACAAAATCTTGGAATTAACCAGACACTAAAAATTTTTACAATGCATCAAGGCTGTTGTTGGCTACTGAAGTACCTGAGTACTTGTACTTAAACAAGTTTGCTTGTAATTCTAAAATCAGAGCAACAGGAGGAGGCCATTTGGGGTGTTATTTCACCCAAGTTACATTTAGGTCTGCTGACTGTTTTTTGCCCCACAACATAAACTTTGTTTCCCAAATACGAGGCGTGTCCTCCTTTGGCAATGCTAAATATCAATAAATTCTTCACTTTTCATGTCTCTTTTCCACACTTCAAGCTGACTACTCTCCATTTAACACAAATTTTCTTTTCAAACAATTCACAATATAACTGATTAGACTTCTAATCTTTGAAGGGAGAGACAGACCAATTCTAAAGGAGTTGTTCATGAGGATTGATGAATTAAAATATAAGGCATGTCCTAGCAGGGAAGGGAGGTTTGTCAATTGTAATTTTGTTTAAATATTATTATTATTAATTTATGGCTGTCATGGATGTTGGGAGATCACCCAATCCTACCCCTATTTTCAGTCAAAAAACTAAAGCTAAGATCAGGAGCTGGGGTTATGGCTCAGCAGTAGAGCGCTCCCCTAGCACATGTGAGGCCCTGGGTTTGATTCTCAGCACCACATAAAAATAACTAAATAAAGTTTTGTGTTCAAATACAACTAAAAAATAAATATTAAAAAAAAGAAAACTAAAGCTAAGATCAGATGATTTAAAAATCCCTTGGCTAGGCAGAAAAAGGATTAGATTTCTGTTTTTCTCTCTAATTCATCTCATTCATTACACTGAATAACAGAATTGGTAACAGGTGAGTACATGAAAGTAAAAAAATTACTCGCCAAGAGGCAGCAGGTATGGTGAATGTGCCCCTTTAGAAATTTTTAAGCCATTCACAAGCCCCTAAATTCTGTCCCTTAAAACACATGCTTCAGTTCTTTCCTGGATAACTAGAAAAACACTAAAAAATAGGCCTGACAATTCTTGAGATCAGTGAGCATCTAATGAACTGACCTCCATTAGTCCTTTCTCAGGTCTTTAAGGATAAAAATTCAGTAAATCAGCCGCATTTTGAGGACCGTCCAAGGTGCCCCATGATTCATGCATGTCAGTGTCGCATGGATTTTCAGTACAGGCCCTCTCATGTGTGCGTCGCCAGTCATACACATTGGTCCCTAGCATTTGAAAGGTGGAAAGATGATCCGAGGGGTCGAGCCTTTCTTGAAACCTTAAAATTGCAGGATAGAAACCAGTGGTTTTAGTTCAGAAACAGGACTGGAATGAATTCGGAAATGGAGACCGAGAAGTCTGCATGGGGGAGGGGAAAGAGGCGCAAGAAGAAAGGAAATGGCCTTTCTCTCCGGTGACGCGCGGTCACGAGGCATTCTCCCGACGTGGGCGCTCGCCATTGGCCCAGCCCAAGCTGACGTGCCGGCAATCGCCAGGGCGCGAACGGCGGCAAAGGCTGTGCTGCATTGGAAGTTAGCAAGGCGCGCGCGCTCCCGCGTTCCGCCGAGCCTCCGCCCCCCGCCCTCCTCCCGCCAACCCTCTGCTCCAGTCCCCCTTCTTTCCCGCTTGGCCCCGCCCCTTTCTTTCGCCGCCCCTCCCCCACCAAGCCGGCGGCGCGCGGAAAGGGCGTCACGTGACGGCTGGCCCCGCCTCTTCCTCTCGGTCCCATATTGAACTCGAGTTGGAAGAGGCGAGTCCGGTCTCAAAATGGAGGTAAAACCGCCGCCCGGTCGCCCCCAGCCCGACTCCGGCCGTCGCCGCCGCCGCCGGGGGGAGGAGGTATTAGGGGGAGAGTGGGGGGTTGACGGGTAGTGGCCGGCATGGGGGAGGCCTGGCTCGATGGGAGCGGGGAGGCCGGGTGGACCAGGTTGGCCGTCCCGCGCTCTGCGTTGAGACGAGCGGTGGGAGGGGGAGGGGAGCGGGCCTGGGAGGCCTCCTCGGGGCCCCTCGCCTGCCTCGCCCTCACTCGGCCGCACAAGAGGAGGCCCTCGGAGGCGAGGCGTGGCTGGGGGGACCTCGGGCGGGCGACCGGTCCGCCGGCTGCGCGGCCTCGGATTCGAGGCCGAGAGCGGCATGGCGGGCCTCAGCAGGAGCGGTTGGGAGGAGGCGGTGGGGGGAGGGGACGAGCCCGCACATCCGGGCGAGCGAGCAGGCGGGCGGCGGCCACATTGACATTGATCCGCTGCCGCGTTACGAAATGGCGCATTGGCCCGCAATGGCCGCCGCCTCGCTGCGCCGCTGAGAAGGAGCGCGGGATTGGAGGAGCAGTCAGGAGGCGGCCCGGTAGAAATGCCGCAGATGGCTTCGAGGTTCGGGGCGCAGTGCTTTCGCTGAAGTTCTGCCGGCAATTTTCTAGGCTTTTACAGGTCCTCTTCGGCGACGAGAGTTTATCAATTCTCTGGCCTGTTCTTCGCAGTATCAAATTGGAAATAACGAGATATCTGAAAAGTTCGCTGCTTTAAAATTCTTTTCAATCTGCTAATTTTGCTAAACAAAGTATAACTACTTAAATCGCCATGTGGATGCAGTACTTTGGAGGATTTGAGAGTAGATGTTAAATAGGAATTTACATTTTTTGACATCCGTTTTTCTCTTTGGGTTGATTCTAGTTGTAGTTTTTCTGAGTTTTTAGGACTGCAAGTGAAGTTAAGTTCATGTGTTTTCGGTTATTTGAATTTTGATTTTTGTGGACTTAATATGTTATCAATCAAATGTATTAAAGACTTGAGAAAATTGTCAGTAAATTAGTGCATTAGGCTATTAGTCACTTAACATTTTTTTTAGCATGTGACAACCTCTTCACGTTAAAATACCTTGTCTTCTATAAAACATTAGGATGTGATTGTGAGTGCATGCGTTAAATGACATTTCGTGTAATTCCTTAAATCTTTAAAACAAAGTCGGGCCACATCTTAATTTGTTTTTAAACCCTCAATATGTTTCGTGCTCCAGTTTATATACTTACTGTAAGTCCCACTTGACAGTTTGTTGTCACACTAAAGATGCTTTTTTTTTTTTAATCATATATTGGTGTGAGGCAAATGCATAGTTTTTGCACTGTATAACAAACTGGTTGTAGAAAGATACGTGGTGGGTTCTTTTCTAAGGTTTTGGGAGGTGCCTGTTTTAATACCGATTTTCATGACACAGGTTCTCTAAATTGCTGCTTGCAACTTTCAAAGTTGTATTACATAGTTTTGTGGCTAAAAATTAAATGCTTCTTGTTGTGCTGACTGAATATTTGAAATGGCATGTATTGGACAGTTTCTCCAACACGTAAGGTTTACAGAAAATGACTTCTCATTGGCAACTTCTAAAATAACCTAACAGTTGTAGCTTAAAGTTAAGGAATTTTGGGTTCTGGATTTGTCCTCTTGGACTTAATGACTTAATTTAGTTGAAGTGATTTTGTATTTGAAAGGCTGGTTTCCTTGCTATCATTTTAGTCAGACTTTTTAACTGAACCAAATATTGCAGGTGTTTATTTTTTACTACTTTGTAGATTGAAGATTTGAACTTTTAAAAAATTAGCTTTTTGCAAGAAATAATTAAAACATTGACTTTCTCAGGGCCACGATCCAAAGGAACCAGAGCAATTGAGGAAGCTGTTTATTGGTGGTCTGAGCTTTGAAACTACAGATGATAGTTTAAGAGAACATTTTGAGAAATGGGGCACACTCACAGATTGTGTGGTAAGTTACTAGGGAAACAAAGGTTTAGGAAAGGGAGGGTGGAGGGCCTGTGAAGGTATATTTCAGTGCTTTCAAATTTTTATTTTGTAGGTAATGAGAGACCCCCAAACAAAACGTTCCAGGGGCTTTGGTTTTGTGACTTACTCTTGTGTTGAAGAGGTGGATGCAGCAATGTGTGCTCGGCCACACAAGGTTGATGGGCGTGTAGTGGAACCAAAGAGAGCTGTTTCTAGAGAGGTATTTTAATAATAACACGTTTTGTAATATGTGAAGTTGTGAAAGTTTTGTTTTTTTGACTCAGCATATTTTATTTGTAGGATTCTGTAAAGCCTGGTGCCCATCTAACAGTGAAGAAAATTTTTGTTGGTGGTATTAAAGAAGATACAGAAGAATATAATTTGAGAGATTACTTTGAAAAGTATGGCAAGATTGAAACCATAGAAGTTATGGAAGACAGACAGAGTGGGAAAAAGAGAGGATTTGCTTTTGTAACTTTTGATGATCATGATACAGTTGACAAAATTGTTGGTAAGTAACAATTTATTGGAATTTGAGGAAACGAATGGTTTCTTCTGTGAACTAACTTTGCTAAATTGCTGTAATCTTGTGTTGAATAGCCTATGAAATGTACAGTTTACTTTTCATGAAGCACCTACACTTGTGTAACAAGCATGATAATCGAACTATTTTTACATCCCAGAATGCTCCCTCATCCCCACTCAGTCAACTACCTTCTTGGCAATGTTTTAATTAATTACAAAATGACACAGGATATCGTTTACATATGATTTGCCAAACATAAAATAACTTTTTTTGTTTGTTTGATTAAAAAATTAGTTCAGAAATACCACACTATTAATGGGCATAATTGTGAAGTGAAAAAGGCCCTTTCTAAACAAGAGATGCAGTCAGCTGGATCACAAAGAGGTAAGTAGGATCATATATACATACTCAGTAAATGTGAGGGGTTTTTGTTAGATTCTTAAAGAACTTCTTTGCCTGTGTTCAAGGTCGTGGAGGTGGATCTGGCAACTTTATGGGTCGTGGAGGAAACTTTGGAGGTGGTGGAGGTAACTTTGGCCGTGGTGGAAACTTTGGTGGAAGAGGTAAGGGTATACTTACTAACATTAATTACATGTGTATCTGAAATTTAATAGAAATTAAATACATAACTTAAGTCAAATCTTACATTTCCTCAGGAGGCTATGGTGGTGGAGGTGGTGGCAGCAGAGGTAGTTATGGAGGAGGTGATGGTGGATATAATGGATTTGGAGGTGATGGTAAGTTTTTATTTGTCTTTTAATGTCTGATATCTTGATTTTGTTTCTCTACCTTCTTTAAAATGTATCTAAAATGTTATACTGTGTAATTTAATCATGACTTAAATGGATTGATTATTAAATTGTATTTTTAGACTAGTGCCATAGAAAAACATTTTTCCTTGGAGATTAAACATTATGTTCCTTTTGGCCAGTAAGATGTATTGTACTTGACAGTTGAGATAGAATTTTAGTGAAACTTTTCCCTGAAATTTTTTTAAGTGAATTTTTAAAAAATGAAAACAGTTTTCGTTTCAAGAAGTAATTAAGTATTCATCTTAATTCTTACTAGCCCAGATTGTTGCTGCACTATTAACCAGGTATTGCCAGGTTTTAGTGTTTATTCATTGGTTTGTTGGCCAGTGACTTAACTGTAATATAAAACCTGAATTCAATACCTTGACCATCAATTGTGATTATTTTGTGTGGCCTTATTTTATCTTTTTAGGTGGCAACTATGGTGGTGGTCCTGGTTATAGTAGTAGAGGAGGTTATGGTGGTGGTGGACCAGGATATGGAAACCAAGGTGGTGGATATGGTGGTGGAGGAGGATATGATGGTTACAATGAAGGAGGAAATTTTGGTGGTGGTAAGTTAACTTTTATGTAAATACTCAATTCAATTACATAGTTTCATTACAGATGTTTCAAAAAAGTGATAAACATTCGATTAACTGTAATATTGGAAAATAATCAATAGGTAGACAGTTTCCTTAACTTTGCTGGCTATTAGTATATTGGTAAAATGTATTCCATCCAATTTAACTCTCAGGCACTTTTGAATTGGTCAAATGGGATCTGCAGATTGAATACTCCCAGACTCAAGATGCCGTTTTGGGTATAGTTTAGCAAAAATACTTTGAATCCTGATAGGTTATAAATGCATAATGTAATAAGTTTGAATCATCATTCCACGATACTATATAACTTTGTTAGAAATGCAGTGTTTTGGAATTTACTAGTGAAAGTGAGTTCTGATAGAAGGTATTTGTGTCACTTTAAAAGTTGTACACTTTATCAGAATCACTGAGTTTTGAACAATGAAAGTTTTGATGGTGTTGAATGAGAGAATATATATAGAATCTAAGTAGATGTTCCTGTAATAGTCTGACATTTGGCAGTTTATTTAGAAACATGCCCTGCTATCTAGATCTGAGGGTTTGCTTAGGAGACTAGTAGAGGTAGTCTGGTAGCTCTATAAAATCTCTTTGGATGTAAGAGTTGGATGTGAGTTGCAGAGAGGGCTACCATGATTGTCAAGATAAGTTACATAAATTAAAATGGGGAAATAATTATTGTATAGGTAAGCCACCAATAAAAATCTTTTGTGATTTCAGGTAACTATGGTGGTGGTGGGAACTATAATGACTTTGGAAATTACAGTGGACAACAGCAATCAAATTATGGACCCATGAAGGGGGGCAGTTTTGGTGGAAGAAGCTCTGGCAGTCCCTATGGTGGTAAATATACTTTATATAAAAACTCTTTTCAGAACTATTTTAATTTAAAATTTTACATATATTTGAAAACTCTACATGTGTATTTTCAGGTGGTTATGGATCTGGTGGTGGAAGTGGTGGATATGGTAGCAGAAGGTTTTAAAAACAGCAGAAAAGGGTAGGTATCTTTAAGTTTTTATCATGATGATAAAGAATATGTGGAACTGTTCACTGAGTGTAATAATTTTTTTATCCTGTATTATTCAACAGGCTACAGTTCTTAGCAGGAGAGAGAGCGAGGAGTTGTCAGGAAAGCTGCAGGTTACTTTGAGACAGTCGTCCCAAATGCATTAGAGGAACTGTAAAAATCTGCCACAGAAGGAACGATGATCCATAGTCAGAAAAGTTACTGCAGCTTAAACAGGAAACCCTTCTTGTTCAGGACTGTCATAGCCACAGTTTGCAAAAAGTGCAGCTATTGATTAATGCAATGTAGTGTCAATTAGATGTACATTCCTGAGGTCTTTTATCTGTTGTAGCTTTGTCTTTTTTCTTTTTCTTTTCATTACATCAGGTATATTGCCCTGTAAATTGTGGTAGTGGTACCAGGAATAAAAAATTAAGGAATTTTTAACTTTTCAATATTTGTGTAGTTCAGTTTTTCTACATTTTAGTACAGAAACTTTAACAAAATGCAGTTCTGAAGGTGTTTCCTTGTGAGTTAACAGTAAAGAAGATCATTGTTAATTACTATTTTGTATGAATTTTGCTAAAGTTAACTGTAAAGAAACACCTGCTGACTTGCAGTTTAAGGGGAATCTATTCTCCCCATTTCCAAACCATGATATGAATGGGCGCTGACATGTGGAGAGAATAGATATTTGTATGTTTGAAATGTGTGTTTTAGATAAATAGGATTGGGTATTTAAATTAGCGTATTTGTGAATTTAATAGCACTAAGATTATCTTCAAATGAAAAATCTCAAAATTCCTATTTGGTTTTTGTGCATTTTCTTTCACAATGTAATCATGATTTTAGTGTGTTAGATTTGCCGAGTCCTAGCTGTGTTTAGAACATCTCCGTTCTACATTTACCTTGGTCACATTTAAACTGCTGCCATAGTTTTTGGGTGTAAAGGATGTCTGCCGCCCTCTATTTAAATTCTGAAAAAGGGTAGTGGATGTTCTCCCCCTCCCAGCTTAAAAAAACATTGTTAACTTTTTTAAGATAAGGTCCACTAAGCCTGCTACATTGGAGCAAATAAGTGGGTATCTGCTTATGTTTTGTTTTCTTTTTAAAGCACATGAGGCCCATATATCTTGATTTATTTTCCTTGGTTTAACTTTTCCCCCCTTGATAAAGCTTTCATAGCAAGAGAATAAAAATCATGCTACTGAACCCTCAATTGGCTGGCATGCTTTCCTGATTTTGCCCTATACATTTTGCTGAATAAAACCAAGGATAGTTTAGGTATAATTGTTGAAAATAACTCAATGCAGCAGAAATGTAGCACAGTTGCTTAGTACAAGCTTCTCACTTCCCAAAGACCTGAATTCCAAATTTGGATAGCCTGAGTTTTTTCTTAAATTCCCAAAGAACACATTGTTATTCTTTATGTATATTTCAACCTAAATTATGTTGGTGTGAGTTATCAATTTGTTTGGAAGACCATGATTGAGAAGACTTACAGATGATAACAAGGTCATATATACGAAAACCAATGTTTACTGTTTTGCGCCAGCTAGTGCTTAAAATTTCATTCAAGCCCTAAGTATGTGCCCTGCTGTTATTCTTTCTTTGGTAGTTGAACATTGAATTCAAGATTTTTACTTGGTTTTAAAAGTACTAAGCAAAACAAGCAATAAAAAGGGGAATGGGGCGTGCTAGTGTTTGAATATGCTCTCTTGTTGCTCTAATTCTGTGCCTCTGTGCATTATTAATATTTGGATGCATGCAATGCCAGCATGGAAATCGGTCTTCACAGATACTGCAGTTTTCCAGAAAACACTCACAAACCAATAAATGTAACAGACAACATTCCATTTGTTAATGGGCATATGTGAATAAGCAGTGTAGAAAATAGGCTAATATTAGAAAATGGTTAAGTCCTTAATAACTTCAAGTGTGGTTATATAAATGGACACTGTCAATGTTCATAACTTAAACCTTGGGTACCTGGTCAAACTAATGCTTGGGAAACATTTTATTAAAATTGAGCTAAATTGTCTCAAGTTTTTTTATTCACATAATAAAGGTTGAAAGAATGGGGGAGATTAACATTTTCTGTTTTTATGTTTGTGAAAAATTGTTTGACACAACCTTGACAGTATCCTTTAATGGCATATGAGGTTAATTGTACTGTTAACGAACTTTGTATGTTCTGGAACTAGTTTAATAGTGAATACATTTTCAGTAAGTCAATGTTTGCAACCTATAAGCAGGTGAAATCTGTGTATGTGACCTGTTTATAAGTTGTATTAGCTTAGTTTTTGTGAACAGTGTGGAAAAGTAAGCCATGAGGAGAGCGATTTAACCAGCTTTAAAGGACCTAAGATGTGCTTTTTAAGCACAATGTGGATCAAAGGAAACTGACTAAGACAGGACTTCAGCAGCCTTTTGAGTATGGACAAGTCAGCATAAATAAAGAATGACAAGGCAGCAGCAAGAGCTTCAACTACTGAGAAGTGAAGGCATAAGATACTATGATGATAGTAAGCAACTTTCCAAAAGCTAGTTAAATCTGCTTATTACAACTGAAATATCGGAAGAAAGTAGCAGGAAGGAGCTCTTCGCCTTTTGGAACATCAATGAGATAGTTGCCACAGTCACTAGGTCTAGCATTTAGACCTGCAAGGAAGGGCAATAAGGATTAGGTAAGGCTTGAATTTGAATTTTTTCACTAATTAAAGAGTAATTTTTTGTAAAGCAAGGTAAGAGTAATCTTTTTGATTTGCAGGTTGAATGAGAACCCTACTTGCCTAAATGAGGAATGTCTTTCCTACCATCTTAAATACGAAGGTTTCTGGCTGGGTAAGGTTTGTAGCTCACAGTAAAATTTGATGACACCATTTATTTCCCTACAAATCTATATTACATATTTTGAAATTTCATCCCCTTTCTAGTAGGTACATTGGCAAAATTATAAAGCTGAAAACTTGGTACCACGTTCAACATGTGTTAAACCTAGGACAATTTTTAAAATTCTGAAATGGCCACAAGTGTTCATCTTGATGCAGATGTGGCCCCTTCATGTATACAATTCATTAATATCTTTAGGTTCAAGTCAGTTTTTGGTAAGGGAAAATACTTTCGTGGAAACAGTTTTTGTAACAAACATGACCGATGCGTTGTCAATCCTCACGCCAGGAAAAATACCTTCAAATGAATTTACAGCATTACCAGGTGGTATGGTTTTCTTCATTCAGGTGGCCTCATGTATAAGTTCTCTTGCATATAAATTCAGGGAATTATTTGAACAAATAGGATAAGCTTGGTTTTGTTCATTCTCGTTACTCTTAGCTAGAAGTAGTGGAGGCCTAATTAAACAAATGAAATTACCTCTTTTCCCAAAGAATTATTTGGTTACTATTCAGATCAGTTGCTGATTGTACATAAGGGCTATTTTTTGCTGCCATAATAGGGCTTGTTAAAATTTGAGGTTTAATTTACTTTTTAATAGAATAACAATTTCAGGGGGGACAGTTGCTCAAAACACTAGTTTCTAAGACGTGAGTTGATTTCCTTCATGAATGGGAGTAGTGAGTTTGCCATAAGGTTTACGAAAAAATGTTGGCTCTGATCTAAATTAGGACAGAATAATTCATAGAATTGAGTGAAAGGTAACAGCCTCTTAATGGTAAAATTACTTCACAACATGGTTTAGTAGAATAAATTTAATAAGATAGGAAACATTTTAAAAGCATTCTTTCCAGTTCATTTATGAAATAAAAGGACTTTTTTAAAAATGTAGTTCCACTGTCATTTCTGAAAATTCCATATTGTCTTTTTTTCCTTTTTTGGTGTTGCTGGGGTTGGAACCCAGGGCCTTTTTTTCTGCATGATAGGTAAGAGCTTTCCACTGAGCTACACCCCAGCCTCTCCATGTTTTTAACTTGTAACAACAATAAACAAAGTAAGGAAATTGTTAACTAAATGGGAAATGGTTGAGGCAAAATTCACACTGATATTAAACTTGCAGATTATTCCTTTCTTAAAAGCTGAGGTTACTTAAACTTGTGTCCTATGGGAAAAGATATTTGGTAAAATCCATTTGTTCAGGGACTAAATAGAAATAAATTTGGTTTTAAGAGTTCTGGTAAAAGTCACAATTAGGAATATTTCTAATTAATGACAGTATCTCTCACAGTTCCAGTAACTGATGTCACAAAGTAGTGAATAAGCATGCTAATGTGCAGGGGTAATGTAAGGGTTGTTAGCTTATCTAAATAGTCACAATTACTTTTGAAGTTTCAATGTTTTCTGATTTTTAAGACTTCAGAGGTGGTCTGTAATGGATTCAACTGTTTAATTTGTAGTATAATGAAATGTTTACAGAAAGAAATTTTTCATTAAAATATTTTTAGAAATGTGTGTGTTTCGTCACTTCATGAAGTTCATGTAACTTAAATGCTATAGGTGAATGTTATAACTTTAGTAATAAAACAGTAAACATGAAATGAGCCTTTTATATAAAGTTGTCTTTAAAAATGTGGGGTTTTTGTTGGTGGTGTGTGTGTGGTGCTGGGGATTGATCATAGGGCCTTGTGCATGCAACAAGGTAAGCACTCTACCAACTGAGCCATTTCCCTAGCCCCTAAGATGTGTATTTTTATTAAATGGAATATAACTGGGAAGTAGATATATAAGAAGAAGTATTCTCAAAACGTTAAAAATGTATTGCCACAATTCTTGCTGCTTCACTTAAGTCACAGAATGAGAAATCTGAACCTGGGGGGAGAAGAAAGGATTAATTAAGGAAGTAAATCAATGAACAAACTGGGAGAAAAGGGGGTTGGGTGCAGCAGAAATATTTCCAGATGTTAGAATTGTCTGTGTCTTGAAGTTGGTAAGTTGAATATTTCTGGTGAGGGCAAGTTGGGGAAAGAACCCTCCTTAAAATTGGTGTTGAACTACACTGCTGCAGTTTTAACCCGAGTTGAAGTGAAATGGATGTGGTTATGTATGGCTTGATAATATGGGATATGGTTTTCATAATTTTTTTAGTAGCATTGCAAATTTGGATTTCTAGGTTTAACAGCTGTTGATATTTTCTCAGTACATTTTTAAGTAAAATACCTTGTAAATAGAAGTCCGACGAGGATTTGTGGCTATTAGTAGCAGAATTATAACACATTTTGCTTGTGTTCACAATGGTTTCCTAGCATGTGCAATGGCTTAATATTCTCTGCAGTTAAGTAATTTTAAAATTGTGTACCTTATTTCATGTTAATACTTGAGTCCCTAAATAACATTTATTTTCTCAATAAGATTAAATTTTATTAACTGCAAAACATCAGGAGATAACATTTGGATCTTCTATCACTTATTTTCTGAAGACTGGTGTTTTGCAAAAAAACGATTATAGCCATTACATTCATTTTAATTGTTAAAGGACTTGTCAAAAAATTTTGTCAAATGTTAACTGGCTACCTGAAGGTTACAGCACAGGTAGTTTTTTTTTTTTAATTTGGTAATTTCAATCTTCAATGCATTGCATTGCTTTTTTCTGTCAACAAATGTGTAACCTTATATCCTTCAAATGTAAATATTTGATGGGCTGCATATTTGAAGTTAATCTGTCATTTAGTAGGTGTTGAAAGTGGGTTTTTGGTCTTGTTTTTTACATAAAGTTTTGCTTATCAGATTTTTAATAGTATCATGAGCTTAGAGAAGTTATTTGGGTGTTCATATACTGCTGCGCTTTTTTTTTTAATGTAAAAGGAATATAACACCCATCCTGAAATATGACATGAAAATGATCTTAAAGAGCTTAACCTAGTGTCTATCTTTTGGTTTGTAAGAATGTTGTGGTTTTGTCAATTCTAAGTGTTTTCTGTCCAGGTGTGGTATTGTACACTTGGAGTCTCAGCAAAGGAGGCTGAGGCAGGAGCATTTAAGTTCAAAGCCAGTCTTGGCCACTTGGCTTGACCCTGCCTTAATCTATACTGAGCATGCCTGAAATTTTCATGGGTGACTAGGTATGCCAGTGTCTTAGACATTTTTTTTTCATCTGAGATTGAAAAAATCTTTTTTCCTCCTCAGTTCTTCAGTAGTACTAATTCATATGAACAAACTGATCTGACAGTATCTTCAAATAGCAAAAATAGGGGCATAGGAGATAAATTCGAACACACTCCCACCTAGCACATAAGTGAAACAGGCTTCAGAAATCTCAGAATGAAAAGGGCATTTACATGAAGTTAAGCAACTAGTATGTCTAGAACAATGATAGGCATTAATGCCTCAAAAGGTATACATTCTTAAACTACAGAATGGAACTTACGAATAGTTCAAGTAAGTTTTAGGATTTGTTCTACTAGAAATTTTAAATAAGTTGCAATTGAATTAGTATTTTAAGTACTAATTCAATTGCAACTTTTGGTACTATGATTATATTGTATGAGCTGGGAAAGTATTTTGGGACTCAGCGGATGCAGCTAAGTGGAAGAAGACAGTTATTACTAAGTACCAACCAACTACAGGCACTCCAAATGGGTCTGCTGCTAACATTCTTGCCATGAACCCCCACTTAATTTTGTGTAAGAATGAATACTTCACTGTTCTGAGGTTGGAAAAGTCTCCTAGGCGTCCATCAGTTACCACTGCTACCACCACCAGAGGAAATTATTTGACAGCACAATATTCAGGACACAGTATTTGAATCCCAGATCTATTGTTCCTTGAAGTCATTTTCAATCCTGATCTTAAGTCATCCAAATCAGAAAAGTATTCAAAACACCAGCTTTAATGTGCGATAAAACTGAAATTTACAGATAAAACAAACCTGAGTGCTGAAGAAAGTTGGCTGGAGGTCATTATAGGAACTAACTCGGATTATCTGGTTCCAGAGGTGGTGGAGCACTAGCTTGCTCCTGGTGGATTAATAGAACTCCTTCATTTTGGTACTGGGGATTCAACACGGGCACCCAACCCCAGCCCTATTTTATATTTGATTCAGAGATAGGATCTCACCTGAGTTGCTTAATGCCTCTGGCTGACTTTGAACTTGCAATCACAGGTGTGCACCACCACATGTGAACTTTTAAATGAGTAATTGATATTTAATGCTTGCTTTGAGTCTCCTGAGTCAAAAATACTTAACATCACGTACAGTACCTTAGATGAACTGAATGGAAGCCAGGAATGGTTTGAAAATGCATTTTTAAAAGGACTTGGTAAGGCCTCCATGTCTAATATTCAAAGGTGTCCAAATGGGAGCCAGTTCCCATTTACCTGTGTTCTAGTTTACTCCATTCCTGGGCAATACCATTTATAATAAAGTCCTTTCCTCTATATTTTTTTGAGATGCAGAATCTAGTACTTAGTTGCTCTTAGAGGATGTTAGCACAATCAGTGCTTGAATATATTCCTGCTTACTGTAGCCAGTAAGCTCTTAGGCTGAAGTGAGGGCTTACAAGGCTTGTGTCCCATCCCTCATCCTCTCCGGCCACAATGCGTTCTCTCCCAACTTCTTGACCTTTAGACTCACTCCATGTGTTCAATCTTTTATCAAAAATCTTGCTTTTCCACACCTTCAAATGTTGCAACCTCAAGGTAGTTTTGTGTCCTACCCTGTTTTAGGTTGCAACACAAATGCTGACATTCCCAAGGTTTTTTCCCAGGTTGGTCTTGAATTTGTCATCCTCCTGTCTCAGGCTATCACTGGACAGCAGGACCTTTATTTTCTAACATAATAAATTATGTTTGCTATCCTTCCTTTACTAGAATGCAAATTCTAGGAGAACAGGAATTTTGACTTTAACGTTTCCCTTGTTTGAGATGCAGCTGCTGTTGAACTGCCGCTGTCTTGATAAACCTTAGTACCACATTTTTTTTTAAAATCATAACAAGGTCATCCAAGTGTATCAGATGATTGACTTATGGAAAATGTTGTGAATAAACTGAAATTATTTAACAGTCGTAATATTCCTTTATTAGTATCAGCTCTTAAAAGTTGCTTTTTGCCAGAGCTAAACAATTGAATATAAAAAATGTATTTTTTTTTGTTCATACAGTATTTGTAAAAAAAAAAAAAAAAAAAGTACATAGTGGTTAGTTTTGCAACAATTTACTTTTATCCAGATGTCATATCTTATAAATCTATGAATGTAACAAATGAGATAAGAACAGTATAAATAAGTTTTGTAGTATTTACACTTATGCAGAATCTAGCCCAAATGGTGTCCTAAGAAATTATAGTTAAAAGTGAAATCACTGATTCAATGTACTGATATTTTAATGCTTTTAAATTTCATATTATCTTCTATACTAGCTTTGGCTATAATTTTGCATAGAATTATAAAGTATATTTCTGCATTTCACATCACAGTAGGAGCTTTTAGTATTACAAAAAAAAAAAAAAAAACTAGCTCAGAAAATGTCATATTCTCCCAAACCTAGTTTTTCTTAACATCTGGCTTCTTACTTTTTGGAACAAGGAATACATTGCCATCTCTTGTTTGTTGCAGAGAGTATTCACTAGGAGAATAAGGTTTCCCATCTTCATCCCGTAACATGCTAAAGACTTCAAGATACAAAGTGCTGAGTTGTTTTTTCAGTAGATGGAGGCTTTTGTCATTTTCTCCTTTTTCTTTAAGTAATTTTTCTTTTTCATCTTTTAAATGACCTAAATCCTGCTCCAGTTCTACTATATTTTCCAGTTTTCTTTTTCTGCAATTTTGAGCAGCCACTTTATTTTTACCCCTCCTACGTATATCTCGAATTAATGCAAGTTGGGCTTCATTGAATTGTTCTTTGGACATCATTTCATTGAAGTCATCAACAGGAAGGTTAATGATTTTTTCCACAGGGAATGGGATATGGAGAGCTTTTGCCCTAAGCTCATCTCTGGTGAGATGAGCCTCCAAGCGACTTGAATGTTTGTCTTTTGTGAATGGGGTTTTTCTATGACCAGGACTTAAAGGCATTTCTTTCTTTGGTGTGTTTTCACTGTAGGCATCATGCACGGGTGCACTGTGCACTTGAGATGGTGACAGAGGTTGCACTGTATCCCCAGAATGTATTGGCTGTGTTTTGGGAGCATTCTGTTTAACACTTCCAGGGGCACTATCTAACTCTTCCATTTCAGAATCACTGAAGCCAGGTGGTGGGTCTCCATAGATGGAAGACTCCACTGAATGTTCTGGTGATGCCATGCTAGGACTCGTGTTCAGTGAAATGCCAGAGTCAGAATCATTGAATTCTGCTGTGCTTTCAGGATGATTTTGGTTGAAAGCTTTACAGAGTGATAGGTCAGAACCATCAATGGGTCCATACAGAAGTTCAGAGAGTGACTGACTCACAGTAGCAGAGGAAGGCATGCTATTGCTGGTACTAGGTTCTGCTATGAAAGCAGAATAAAATTCATCACCAAAATCTGTGTTTAATGTGGCATCTGAATTTAATGAATTCACTGTCAACTGATTGGGATCTTCTGTGGAGAGGATGCTGCTGAAGGAATCCTCAAAAGCATTCAGAAAATGTGGACTGCAGTTCCCTACTTCTTTCTCCAGTGAGGGGATGGATGGGTAGAAATAATTGTTGTCGATTTCTGTCAGCTTGGCTTCTGGGCTTGGAACGGTGGTAGTCTCAACCAGCTTATCATTTTCAATATTAAGACACTGCATGGAAAAGAAGTTTACACTATATGAACCAGTATTAAGTTTTTTTCCAGTTTGACCCCAGGGCCTTGCACATGCTGTGTAAGCATGCTACCACTGACCTACATTCCAGCCCCTTTTAAAATCTGTTTTGAGACTGGATCTCACCAAGTTGACCAAGCTGGCCTCAAACTTGTGATCCTCCAGACTCAGCTTCCTGAAATCACTGGAATTAAAGGCTTGCGCCACCATGCCCAGATTACCTCAACTTCCGTTCTATAATCCAGAGATTAATGTCCATTTTCAATAGATGTATACACCTAAGCGTATGTATTATTTTCAAGAGTTATAGATCTGATCTATAACAGCCCATTAACAAAGTGCATGTTAAGTGAACCTGGGAAGTTCTTACGACCAACTGAAAAGCATTTTCAAATCCTTCCTATGAATAGATGGCATATAAATAATAATCAGAATGACTAATTTAATGGTACATCTTCAGTACTGCATTGTATCTTAGTTACCTGTAATTCTGGAATGGAAAATAGCTCCTGCCAAACTTGCTCAATATCCTGCTGCATGTTGTTTAAATCAGCCATGGCTCCATCAAGAGAAGTTTCAGGTGACTGGGCCTGAGGAGGAGCATTGAAGACTGGGCTCTCGATGTGGCTGGGAATATCAGGAACAAGTGACTGAAATGTAGCTGAAGAAACCTAAAATTGACAAAGCATTTATTTATCTACATGAGTATGTCACCAACAGTGGATAAGCAGTCTCCAAGGCACTATCATACAAATAGAATGAGCTGAGCTGCAGTTCTGTACTTCTATTTACCAACTTCTGACCCCAATTTTATTATTTCTTTTAAATGAATACACATTGAAAGGACTTATTTATAGAGTTTTGCTGTTAACCAAACGTTTTATACCTCATTGTCATCTACAAATGGGAATGTCTCTGCCAAAAGCTGCATACAGTCATCGAAGTACAGAGCATCTGGTTTGGGAATGTGGGCAACCTGGATTAAAAAGGGAAAGGCATAAAGGAAGAAAAAAATTGTTAAATGTTCCATTGTCAAGCTAAATATTCATGATTAATGTTCATAAAATGTTTACAGTCTAGTTAATTGCTTAGTTCAGAAATCAGTTTGATACACAGACTCAAACCAGACTACCTGGATTCAAATCTTAACTCCCTCATTTTTGTTTTATTTTTGGTAGTGGTGATAGGGATTGAACCCAGGGCCTCCGAAATGCTAGACAGGCACCCTACCACTGATTACACCCTTAGCCTTCCCCTAATTTTTTAAGTGATCTAGGCAAATTTTAACCTTTTTTGAGCTTCAGATAAAAATGTGAATATTCTTCACTTATATAGAACATTGTTTGCCCTAATACCGTAAGCAATGACTATGGCTAGTTTTAGTACTGCCAGTACTTCCAATGTACAAAGTTCTTTCATGTGATTTATGTCCTACTAATCTTACAACAGGTTAAGTATTGAATTTATCAGAAGGCTGTGATTTGGAAGTTAATATGACATGGTCACAAAAACATAGTTAAAGGCAGAGCTGGAACTCAAATCCAAATATTTTCATTCCTCGGTCAGTGTTTCTTCCCTTAAACCCTGCCATATACTTTCCCCCAAACTGAGTACTCTGTACCTGGGAGTAGTTTGCAGATCCACTGGTTTCTGACTGGGTGTGCTGGGCTGGCTGAATTGGGAGAAATTCACCTGTCTCTTCATCTAGTTGTAACTGAGCAAAAAAGGCCTTCTCTTGCTCCTTTTGGAGTTGTTCTTGTCTTTCCTTTTCAAGTTTTTTCTGTTTTTCCAGCTCATACTCCTTCTGTCGCTGACTGAAGTCAAATACTTCTCGACTTACCCCAAGATCTATATCTTGCCTCCAAAGGATGTCAATCAAATCCATGTCCTATGTTTAAAGCAGAAAAGGAGAGATCATGGTTAAGATGGTCCACATAGGTTAATTCACAGTATGCCATGGTTGATGGTGGGGGAGATTACAAAACTCAAGTGAGAACACAAGATCCAGTGTTCTAGGAAAGCAGTTACTTTTGACTCAATGAACCTATTCACTAAAACAACCAACCTATGCCGTCTAATGACAGTTTGAATCACTGGTAAGGTGTAGAGAGGACTAAAGGGGGAAGGGTTACCTTTTGCCTACAGAAAAGTTGGGAAAGCGGTATTGACTGTCTACTAGCCTCCTTCCTGAGAAATTCTAAATACTGTGTGTGGTGGGGGTGGTGGCTAGAGAGTGAACCCTGGATCTTGTACATACTAATAAGCATATGTTCTACCACTCAGCCCCTAATTAACTTTTCAAGAAACAAAGCAAAAAAAAACATTGCTCTACAAGAAAGATTGATGGTACCTTTTTTCTCCCACATTTTTGTTATTGGTAGATTATAGTTGTACACACTAGTGGGTTTTGTTGTTACAATGAATAAGTTTTAAGATTGGGAACAATCTTACAAACAGGGGATGGTTATTTTGAATTAGTAACACTTTTTCCTAATGAAAAATGTATCAAAAGCAGTTTTTCTGATTTGTAACTTTAGTTTGGGGGAAATGTCTAAACAGAAAATTTATAGCAGTTTCATTTAATGAATTACCTATATCAAAGTGAAATTGAGAATGGAAAAGTGAAGCCCTGAGCAATAGGAACTGGGGCCCTAAAGGCCTCAGTTCTGCTTAGGGCTGGCTGTGTCAGCGTGCCTGCCCAGTAGAGGTCTAGAGCTCTACTCTACTTGAAAGGACAAAAATATAACATGGCTGCTTCCTCAGTGAACACTTGAGACTATTTTTACCCCACACAGCAGGATCAGGTCACCTGACCTGGAGACAGCACAGTGGCGATCACACCAAGAATTGATTCCCCCCCCCCCATTATTTTTTTTGCCCACTTCGCCCTTCTACCAGATGTCTACAAGTTTCAATTGGTTTTAGTTATGATTAATATTATTTTATCCTGCATTAAAGTGTAAAATGTACAAACGTTATGTATGTTGATAGCAATGGGCTCTACTACTTTGGACTCAGGTCAATAGATACTAATGAAGCTGGGGACCTATCTAATGAGAGCCTGGAATAACATTCGGGCTGTCTAAACGGACAAAATGAACAATTTAACTTTTCCCAAAACTATGTATAGTATCTTTGAAGCAGTGAAGCTGCTTGATCCTTCCTCAGGGCATGTCTGAAACTGATTACTAAACATGTGCAACATGTAAATAAAAATGATGGAGGCACCTTAATATGAAGCAAATTGGATGATGTTGTGTTGGTGAATATTATTTTTGGTGACTCTGGTGTTGGGTGGTGGGGACCCCATGTACATTTATATATACCTTTTTCACAAACAGTTCTGCCACCTAATTCCTGCTATGACTACCTTTCAGTGCACTACGAATTTATTCAGTATGCTTTTATTTTTAATTTCCCATACACATTCAGAAAAGGACAACTTGATGGATCCTTATCAACAGGAAAAATACAACAGAAAGCATCATTTGGATCAGCTGTAGAACATCCTGTCGCGGGCAATGATCTGAAACAGTGGTAGATCCTGGGAGGCTGAGCAGCTCTCATAGTCCTAGCTTTCCATCTCCACTATGAAGGCAACCAAAAGGTTTTCAAAGAACAAACATTATGTTCATTAGGGTAGGGATTATAATGGCACCCACACAGATGTTATCAAAGTGTTCTAAGAGGTTTTCCTCTGTGCTTTTAACTTTGTAGTTGAAGAAAAAAATTAAAGCTTAATTTTAAAGCAATTACTTTTGGTTTCCTAAAAACAGATGTTCTAACCAAGTTTAGAATGCAGCAACAGTGATTTTCTCCTCCCATCCTTAATACGTCATGCTGTTACTCTAATTTTCCCATGTTTCAGAAGGAAAATGCTTGTAGATTGCTATTGCATGAAACATTGAAAGCTTTACATTTAATATGAACAGGAGTTTATTAGCCCACACTGGGAAGACCCACAGGCTCAGTGTTGTGCTCTGTGCTGACCAAACAGGCAGTGAGCATTTCCTATGAGAAGCCGTGTGACCAGGCACATGACTAACTGCACAAACGACCCATCTCTGCAAAGCTTGCACATCGTCTAAAAGGAAATAATTGTCAGGGTGGAGCCCGTAACAAACGAGGACTGAGGAAGAACTAAAATTGCTCGTCTGCACAGAAGCATAAGATTGAAGAAGTACAAGTGCCTGACCTCCTAACAAGGCCCAGAGGAGGATAGCCACAGTGTTATTTCCTTAAAACTGATGAAAAAGCTTCCCAAGGGCCATAGAAGTGCTGGCTATGAGCCTTCATGTGGCCTATGGAGCAAATCCTGTCTGCCACTTAAAAGAGTCTGAATTTTTGTTGTTCTTTTGTGAATTTGAGTGTGTTGTAAATTATGTTGCAAGTGTGGCTTACAAAAAAGAAGACAATAAGAAACACAATTGTTGGACAATTTATGGTAAATCACCATCTGGCCTAATGGAAATATTCATGTTTAAAATGTATTCATCATCATTTGCCATCTGTATAATCTTTCACAGGTTTTATGGGAAATTATCTTTGTACTAGGATAAACAAATAAGAAAGGCCTTGAATACAGAATCCACATAAAATGTTTTTCTGCAAGCCAATTTTAGTACTTTGAACAAATAGCATTTATCATGTTCAGGTCATCCAAAATATCAGAAAAGATAAGGCACAAATAACATGATCACCATCCTTAAATAAAACTATTCAATAAACAAACTCTGGAATGGTATTTGAAAACTAAAATGGTATGTTTTACACATGTGTACATGAAGCTCACATCCTATTTCCTTTGGAGAATTGACTGAAAGTGGTGGCACTCTTTTCTTCTAAGAATAAATGCATGTGATCTGTAATCCCAACTACTCAGGAGGGTGAGGCAGGAGGGTTGAGTCCAGTCTCAGCAACTTAGTGAGACCCTGTCTCAAACAACTAAAAGGGCTGGTGATGTTGCTCAGTGGTTAAGCACCACTAGGTTCAATCCCTAGTACCAAAAAACAAAACAAAAAAAATGAATTTCACTAATAAAGTGCTAAAAAAAGTACATATTATTTAGTAAACACAATGAAAACAGATCCTTACTGCTAACTTTGAAAGCAGAATTTAGATAGCATCTTCAGTTACTCTTTGTTTTTTCTTTCACAGATTTCATTTTTTTATATTATGCCCAGGTGAATATTCACCTAAAAGTTAAATCTGATTTAGTATTTTCTTCCCATAGACACTGCCCAAATTATTTTTTTTAAACAAAACTAGACAGAACACGGATCATACTCTATTGTATGAATGAATTACACAAAAACAATTGAGGGCCCCAATGGCCGGGGGGCCGGCTGAGACAAGAGGATCATGAGTTCAAAGCCTGCCTCAGCAAAAGCACTAAGCAACTGAGTGAGACCCTGTCTCTAAATAAAACACAAAACAGGGCTGGGTATATGGCTCAGTGGGTGAGTGCCCTTGAGTTCAATCCCTGGTACCTGTCCCACCCCACCCAAAGAAAAGAAAATTTAGGGCAAGCCTGAATATTGAGGAATTCATTAAACAACAAAAAAGATCCTAATTTACAAGGTTCTACTTTGCAGTCCTAATGCTTATTAAAATGATACCAAGCAGAAGTGGTTTTAAAATACTTCTTTTGAAGACTATTATATTTCATGAATATTTATGTACCTATATACTTTTCTAGGGCTTCTGTCCTTCATGGCATTACAAGATACACAGTGCAGTGCTAATTGTTTTCTTAGAATTCTAGATCATCCAAAATAACAAAAAAGAAAGTACAGATGGCAGGTCATTCTTTGTAGTTTGTCCACATTCAAATACTTTTGAGTTTTTACAAGACTGATTTGCTAATTCTTGCTTGTGTTGCTACAATAATTGTAGATAATTAAAATTATAAAATGATTATAAATATAGATTAAGAGAATGTTGGAGACAAAAAGCCATCTAAGCTAAGTAGAAATGTTGCTCTGTTTATTTCTACTTATAGCACAATTATAAAAAATACTGATCTAGCAACCAGTTGTAATACATCAGCAGAATTCTTAATAGGTCTTAAGAGTTACCACTAAACCAAATTTTCCTTGTAAAGAAATCTTACTCAGGAATTCTTCCTCAGTCTTCAACAGCTAGCTAGGGATATTTTACCCACATAAAAATTCCCGAATTCACACCAAGAGATAGATTATTCAATAAGTTAAAAGGCAAGGTCACTATGTGCCATTCCCTGGATTGTAGAGCCATTACTATCCTTCTCCTCTTGTGTCTTTCAACTAGAGTGGTCCAGTTTCCTCAGACTGGCAGGTTACTATACACGGACATTTTCATGTGCCTGCTTCCTGTTCACAAACAAGTTTCTCAGCAATGACTCAATCTAAGAAATATGATCCAAGCAGCTTACTGGAACTCTCACCCATTACCCTTGTCTATAAACTCTAAAGCATGATGCAAAGATAAAGCAAAACTGCAAAGTGGTTTTTCTCAAGAGGAACATATGTAGTTTAGTCAAAAAGAAATCAGAAGAGTTAATTTCCAAAATAGTAGGTGACCCCATCTGCTAAAAAATCTGCACAGCTCCAGCTTTTCAGTGAGAGGTTTCACAGCTGAGTCCCAACAGGGCTGGTTTTGGTTATTTGTATTGGAGCAAGATCCTGCTGCTAGGCTTCTTAGGGGTTATACAAAGATTGTCACTTCTTTGCCAAGAGAATGGCTTGAACTGACAAAGAACTTTGAGGATATTTTGAGTGAGCTATACTGAGCATTCAGTTTTGGAAGTCTATCCTCCACGTATGAAAGGCACACTTGGATAGACGTTCCACTACTATCTGAATGATCCTATAGGAAAATACACATGTATACCCCATGTTACCAACAACC